CCTGGAAAGTGAGTATCAGTTTCCACACATTTGCTGAGAGGGGTGGGGGGTGTGCAAAGAGAAGGGGAAGTGGATGATTTAGAAAGCACCTTGAATTTAACCTAGGCATAGTGGGTGACTTTTAAGTTTGACACATTTTGTCATTTCTTGGCTCTCCTATTGATTGGAAATTGTTGGGAAAAATCCTGAAATAAGGAAATGGTCACACAAGTGTCTGGGATGAAACAGCTGGCCTGTCTGTATTCATGCTGAGACTTACACACGATTGCATATAAATACATGTTTAATAAAGTAAGCTGCTAGTTTTATGAGCATGTGTGTGTGTGAGGGAGAGACAGGGCATTTGTGCTGTAAACTTTATCTTTGCCTGTTATTTCTAACTCTGGAGTTAGTAATCTTGCCTTCATCATTATAGGGGGAGCATGTAAAATATATAAGTAGGTGGGAGATAAACACATTCATGTTAGCCGGGCACATCACTGTTCCTGGGAACTCCAGCTATCTCTCTCGACTTTTCAGTGCCAAAGTATGGAATGGGATATGTGTGTGCATGTGTCTCCTGTTAAATCCATGTCTATAATACTTTGCCATTTAAAATACAATTTCAAAAGTTACCCTCAATTTAAAACTCTGATATCCTGACAGCAGCTTTCTTCCCAGCTGTAGTGACCCCCCCCACACACACACACTTTGGTAAACGACTCAAGTTCCATGAGGACTTTCACTTCTTTATTTATCATCACAGAAGTGAGGTGTTACTTCACATACATACACACACAAAGAATAAAATAAAGAAATGAAACTCGCTAAGCAGACAAAAACAGGCAACTTTCTGCTTAGAAAACAGCCTTCTCCTGTGGGAGAGGATGCACTGCCATATCTAAGAGAAAGACTTGCCCCTGAATTTGGTAGGTTTGTATCGATCAAATTTTGTAATTATTAACAGGTATTTGCCAAGTTTTAATTGCTGAATACAATGAATTGGAACTAGATGCAAAAATAGAGCAGAATCTCTCCCCTTGAAGAGTTTTCATTCCACCGTGTAGTTCTCAATAAAACTTTTCCTAGGCTAGGTAGCAAAGGGCACCTTTGGTTACCTGAATGGACAGGTACAGGGCAAATTATCTGGGTGAGGAAAAAGGAGAGAAAAGGAAGGAGAGAGAGCGGGAGTGCCAGAGAAATCGAAGAAGTCACTCCTGGGAAAAGCTTGCCATAAAGGAGCTAAACCCACCTGAAATTCCTGCCCACAGACACTCCTTCTCACTTCAGACTCACATCCCCACTTAAAAGGAGAAAAATCATAAAAGGACGGTGGGGGATGACCATACCAAAAAGGAATAAAAAGAGAGAAAAGGGGAAAAAAAAAACCTACCTGCGAAGTCTTGTTTGTAGTTTTGGCCAGAAATGGTGAGAAGAAAAAGCATGAAGAAGCCGCGAAGTGTGGGGGAGAAAAAGGTGGAAGCGAAGAAACAGCTCCCGGAGCAAACTGTACAAAACCTCGCCAAGAGTGTCGGGAGGCAGGACCGTTATTCCTGCGGAGCAGGTTAGAACTGATCTCTTTCGGCCACTCCAGGAAACACAAACCTGGGGACGGACTGACGTGTTACGCCTCTTCTAATGACATTTTTTTCTTTTTCTTTTCTGTAGGAGAGAGAGGAGAGACCCTGAAACACGCGCCACCTATCTTTGTGGGGAGGGATAATTGAAGCGCCCTGAGCGTGAGCATCATGTGAAAACGTGATCGCCAAGTTTCTCTCTGGGAAAGGATCTGGGATAGATTATACCTTGAAGTCTCCGCAAACGCTTTAGTGGAAGAAATGAAATTCCACCTCCCTCCCTTCCTCTCTCCCTCCCTCTCGCCTCCCTCCCTCCCTCCCTCCCCCCCCCCCCCCCCCCCCCCCCACCCCCCCCGTCAAGCCTTTGGCATCATTATCCTCATCACTAAATCCTACAGAGTACAGGGCGGAAAACGGTGCACACCATTCACAGAACTGGAGAACTCTTAGGGGCGAAAGTTAAAGGGAAAGATCCCAGGTCCTCAATCCTGATCACCTCTTCTTATACAGATATTTCTAATGAGCAGATTTGAGATACACATTAAGTTGTGTGGATTTCTCAGCACGTCTTCTGGAACTAAATTCTTTGCCCTTTTTCTTATTTATTTATTTTTTTCTTTTTAGATGGCAGAGCCAGAAAAAAAAAAAAAGCTGCACGTGAACTGCCTCTTAGGGTGTGTGTGTGTGTGTGTTGGTGTGTGTGTGTGATGAATTTCTGGATTAGATCCCAATACTAAAAAGTAGTTTGGCATTTTAAAAAAGGGTCTCTAAGTAAATTAACATAGAGCGCTGGGTTGACTGATCTCTGAATCCCTCTACATCTCACGGAGACCTCACTACAAAGTGAGGGAGTGTGTGTAGGAGGAAAAGGAGAAAGGCCGTAGAGGAACTTAGCAGGGAAGGAAGTGCATAATATTAAACGGTATGGGGTCTAAGTTTTGGGATATATATTTTTTTGATATTGCAATTAAAGTAAAATTAAAAAGAAAAGACTCCACCTTTGCTCTGAAGGGATTGGTTATGTAAATATGGAAGGGATTTCCTGGAGAATACAGCTTTCTACTGTATGGTTAATTAAATAATCACTCAAAAGCTTCCAACGTGACGCTTCTGTCGTAATCCAATCAGGTTACATAGGTCCTAAACAAGAAAGATATTTTCCACATCTGGAAGTCAGCAATTTAGCAAGTACTGCACATTATTAACCAATTCAGAGCCCACTTCCCAGGGGAATTTTTTTTGAAGTTTAAGTGTTCTTAACCAATGCTCTGCTGTTTTGTTAATCAAAAAGCTGGTTTACACTGCACGTAATTGGAACTAATATAGAAGTAAATAAAGACAGCCAAATTTGAGGATGCTGAGCACATGCATTTATCGGAAAAGGAAGAAATCTCTTAGCCTCCAATGGTTCAGGCTCAATTTCTTAAAGAACTGTGAGACTTTTTTTTTTTTTTTTTGAAGAGTGAAAGTGCTTGAGAACCTCAGAACAAACTTCCAGTCCCACAGCCTTTGGACTTCTAGCAAAGGTAAAGGTGGAGGTGTTAAAGAGGACTAAACAACCTCACGCCAGATTTTCTGCTTTAATATTATTAGTGTCACAGCCCCCTGTTTTCAGTCTGATGAAATCTGAAACAAATAATACCCTGATCCAACACCAGACTTTTACTTATATTAAGATAAACTGCTTTGAATTGTGCTTTGAATGTGTGCCTAAAGCAAGACTTTGAATTCAGGAGTCACTTGCAATTGTACTCAGAGGAGGGGAAAGCCACCACATGGGTAGTCACATCCATACTCCCAGAGGTGCATGTCTTTGTATTTTGTATGGGGGGGGGGAGGCAAAAGCTATCCAGCATGACCACAGCCAATTCTTACTTTAAGTTGCAAACAAGTAAATTTTCACAGTTGTTTACAGACTTACCTCTCTCCCAACTTGAGTATTACAATGAGAATAACTAGATAAATTAATCTTCTTCCCCACCCCATTACAGATAATTTACCTATAGAAGAGGCGCATTCAAGATCATCAGTCTAAAAGTTAATTATAAAGAAAGGAAAATTAATGATTTCCAATATGGGCCAGACATATTTTAAATATTATGTTTTACATTACTTGTAATAGTTCATGCTAAATATATGTATGATTTATCAAATTCCTCCTCTGAGATTTCTCTCTATTGTTAATGTCCTTTTTTTTTCCTCTTCCCACTTTTCCCTCCTTTTTATTAAAAAAAAAAATGGAATCCAGCTTTCTCTAGAAGTTTGCTTTTCAGTCTCCCCACTTCCATTCCCATGGAAGAAGGATTCCATTCATTGCAAGGAGTGATTCCAGTCAAGATCCCACTCACTGCATTAGCCCAGGTAGTCTGGATGGTTCCAGTCGCAGACACTCATAGCAAAACCACAGGTCAAAGGGTCCAAGGGAAGGGCTAACAAATCACTTGTCTTTATTATGTATATTAGTGTCAGGTTACTTAGGATCTGGCTTGAGAGAGAGAGAGAGAGAGAGAGAGGCTTGAGTATTTCCATTAAAAACACCTAATCATCTGATTGCTCTGGGCTCAGTAATTGTTGAAGTGGCAGGAGGCAGCCCCAACACTTAGGACTGGGAGTTCGGACTTTCGAGTATTTGATTTGGGGTAAAAAAAAAAAAAAAAAAAAAGCAATCTTTCAGGTTCCCATTAAGGTGTATGTTTGGATGATGGCAAGGGAAGGGTCTCTGAGAGGGGTGAGCGCGCACGTAGGTTGCCCCCCGCCCCTGCCTGGCACGCCCCTGGCACTCTGCTCCTCATTTGACCGAGGGTTCCCACCAACGCAGAGGCGGTGAGATTGGAGGAAGCCGAATATAAATTTGTTCGGAACACTCCCTTAGTCCGAAGGCCAGGTCGGGGACAATGAGGATCGTGGGATCAGCGGGATGCATAAGCGCAGGGCGCAGGGAAAAGTCGAGAGAGGACTGGTGCTTTCGGCTCCTCACACAGCAAAAACAAGTCCTGCAAATGAATCGCTCCTTCCCGATCTTTCTTCCCCATTAATAATCCATTTCGAGATTAGCGCAGACGAAGGGGATTAAAACAACAGATACAAGTAAATGTGAAATGATATTGCAATCGACATTGGAGGGAGAAAAAAAATTCTTTAGGATTTCTTTCAGTAAAATAAACTGCCTCCCTCAGGATTCCCTCCACCCAGGCAGGGTGAGAAGATGCACTTTTGTTTTCCAATTTCCTTCAGCCAGGATCTGGTGCCTGTCCCCCCATTCACCTCTCAATCTGTCAATTTCCCCAACTTTCACAGCAGTTCGCCCCCCCCTCCCCGCTTCCCCCACCTCCCGTGCCAGCCCCAGCTCCGCTCGCCGGCCCAGAAGCCCGAAGAGATACAATGTTTCTGCCCCTGAACACCCAGGCTGTAGAAGGAATTCGAATTTGGCCCAACTAATGAATATTTTTTATAGCAAATTTTGTTTATTTTGTACCATGTGGAGAAAATAATAATAATAAAAAAGGAACGTATTCTCGTTTTGAAACGGAATTGATCTTTCATCTAGAGGAATTATTTCAACCCTGTGTTGTTACGCAGGAGGTGGGCAACTTCTTTTAGAGTTGCAAGCAAAGGGTGATAAGGGAGACCCCTGGATTGGGGTGTGTGTGGAGGGGGTGGGGGGCGGCAGGGGTCCAAGTCAAGCCAAACGGTTTTCTCACGTGCAAACTTGCAATCCAATCCATTCGGAGTTGAGCCTAGGATAGGAGGGGAAAATCTACTTAAAAAAAAAAAAAAAATCAGGAGCATCTCTCTGAGAAACCCTCTTAAACAAAATCAAAACAAGACTAGAGAACCTCAGACCGACCCTAACATCCCTGCTGTGAGGCCCGCGGGCTGTGGAATCACGCACGTCACCTGGCCCCAGCAGGGCGGCCAGCTGAGGGGTTCTTTTTATTTTATTTTCCTTTATTTTTTGAAGTTAAGGCTGAATCTCGGCTTCAGTGCTTTTGCCAACGTCTTCCCTGAAAGGAACCAGCAAACTTCAGGACTCAAATGAGCGTCTTAATTTATTGATGCAAAACAGGTCTGCTTGTCGCCCCCAATTCTCGGCGCGCTCGGTCCCCCACGCCCCCAGCTTCGGTCCCTCCATTCGATCTCAGGGTAAGGCCCCGCCGCACAGGCGGAGGAGCACATGGGGGGGGGGTGTCGGTCCCCGCCCGCTCGCCCGCCCTCCCCAGACCCGTACCCGCCCGAGAACCCCGCGACCCCCGCCCCGCCGCTGGGTCAGCTGACCTGGGTCGCTAGCTAGCCTGCTCCCCGCCCGCCGCCCTGTTTCCGGTCCCCGGGGTCCGCGAGCTGCGCTAGGAGCGGGAGCGGCCGCAGCCGGGAGGTGATGCTGGGGGCTGATTACCATGAGAAAGGCTGTGCCTGGAAAAGCCTCCTCCACGCGACTGTCAATCTCTCCAGGGGAAGGGGGGGGGGCGGGGACGGAAAGGGGCCCTGTAGGAGTCACCAGAAAACTTGGAGTAAGTTGGATGCGACGCAGGCCCGAGGAGGTGGCTTTCGCCTCAACTTGGAAGGCTGTGGCGTTAAGGGCGCGGACGCCAGCAGCTTCGCCAGGGAATTAGAAACCAAAAATCCTTCCTTTCCTCCCTCCCTCTTGCCCTCCTGTCAGCCCTCCCTGTCCTTTATCCTTATTTTCTTGAAATTCTTTTCCAATTGCATTTTCTACATTCTCCTTTTTTTTTTTTATCTGATTATCTTCTTTTTGCAATCTCTTGTTTTGTTTCTTAGCATCCCCTCTCTCTTTCTGGCTCTCGCTTTCGCTCTGATTCTTTTGTGCCTCCTTTATGTGTCCAGATTTATCATTTAGTTTTGAAAACACAGTGTTTAATATGTAATTAATCTACCAGCAGGAGGTCAGGGACGCCTTTACTAAAATAACTCCCTGGGTCATCAGAGAGCAAGTTCACCAGGTGTCAGTGAAAAGTAAATCATAATCATAAATATAAATCAATATCTTAGTAATCAAATGGTTTCTTATCCTGAATCATATCAGCTCAAACTGATTTTTTTTTAAAGATACAATCTTCCTGGAAAAAAATAATAATACTTGAAAAAGAGAAATAATTTATAAGTAAAACAATGTGAAAAAATTCTCATTTACAATGAAACTTTGGCAGTACTTAACAGACTTTAGAAATTATGATAGGTAATTTAAAGAAACTGAAACTGCTTTACCTTTTAATGTTTATTCAGAAAGCATAAAAAATTCCTAAAGCACCCTCACTTCAGAGAGAAACAAATTTATTTGTACTTGCTAAACAAATTCACAACTTGAGTCCTTGGGTTGGTTTCTTGGCCAGGTTGCCCCATTACCTAGCAGGTGAGTGAACACGGGGCTGCTTATGTCATGAATGTGGCTATGTTTTTGTTTTCCTTATTTTTTTGTCTTTCATTCATTTTTGAGCACATTTGTGTTCACTTATTGAAATTCAGAGTTTGCACTTGTTTACAATTTGTTTACTTTGTTGCATTTTTAGAACTTGTTAGAAGTTAATTGAACATGTATATTAAGCTGCTTTTTAGGCCAAGAAAAATAAAGATGCATTAGAAAGATGCCTTTTATGCTTCATAATTATTAATTGACATTTTATGATGAATAATTAATCATTTGAATAATTTTGGTATCTCTGATCTGAACACATATTTGCATATCTAATGCTTGATTTTAGCTGTTTTTTTTTTTTAATCATTCTCTTAGGACAAAGAAACAAAATAACATTTTAATGTAAAATTTCTCTTTAGCATTTGTGTAAGTTTATTAAGTTGTAGTATTCTTTCTAGATAGCCATAAAACTTCTTAACAATTTGTAAACCACTTATGTAGCAATAACATACAAATATGTGACAAAACTACAGTTAATTAGGAAAAACAATACCCTGTGTAAAATCAGTTCACTCTCCTCTCCAAATGCAGAGATAAGTACTGATTATGCACCATATTTTTCTTATTGGAATTTGATCATTCAACTTTTTGGTTATGTCTATTTATACAGGTCAAAAAGTGGGACACTGAGATAATTGACAAGTAAGACATGGTACTTAAGGTAATTTTACATTTTTTTACTTATTAATATATAGTCTGATTTAAAGTCCTTTAAAAATGATCATGCAAATATGTCCCTGGAATCTTAATGCCCCTGTGTCAGTTGAAGTTTGAAGGATCTATTTCTGATGCTAACAGTGCAGATTACTACCTGTATGATTACAGGCAACTTACTCTAAACTTGTTTCCTTATCAACAATGTGAGTATGCTAATAGTGTTCATTCCTTAGGGTTTTTATCGGGAATTAAATGAAGTAATACATGAAATGAAAAGTCGAAAAAATAACACGGAACATACAGATCAATTAAAGATAGTATAAATTAATTTTGACTACTAAAAACAACTATTTAACTTTAGTATCATTCATAATTTTTGTATTGAGAAATGAGTGCCTTGTCATTAAGTGAAGAAATAAAATGGAAAACATCATAAGATTTATAGCTAGTTTATGATTCTTTAGACCTGTTCAAGGGATGCATAGCCATCGATGTGAGAATAAATACAGTATTTCTTTATTATGTTCATTCAGCAGTTAATTTATTGTATTCAAGATGGTCGTAATTTGGTTATAAATATTAGACTTATTTTAATCCAAGTGTATAAACTTGAAGTTTCTCATGTTGTTTAGTAACATACTGTCTTTGAGTGTAAGAGTTAAATGCGCAAAAGCTCAGAAGCAGTCTTGAGTAAGAATTGTGAGAAAAAAAGGCAAATTTACAAATTTGGAGACCAGGAATTTGGCTGTCAAAGCATTATTAGCTGTAAGACCATTCATAATGAACTGAACATTCCCTTTTGGAATTGTAGTTATCCTGGGGTTTGTGCTAATTCCAAGTACCTATAGTGGGGGAGAAAATCAGTTTATTAAATGGAAAATGAAATCCCTGTCTCTTAAACATCCGCAAGGCCAGATTTTCTTTTTGGTGCAAAAGCTGAAAAATCGATGCAAATGCTAAGGGGAAAAAAACTATTGCGATTTTTAATCCCAATACTGATGGCTCTTTGTTGTTGTTTTCTTTGACTCCTCAAAACACTCCAAGTGTCCCCTAATTGTTTCCTTTCTCAGAGAATTCCTTCCATACTCCTTGTAGGTCAAAACCACCAAAAGGGCCATTTGGACATCAGCCTGGGGGCTCAGAGTGGCCTGTACCTTTTTCTTTTCTCTTTTTTAAAGGGAAATGGGACCAGCAATTGTTTGTACCTACAGATTGTCTGGTGACCTGGAAATAACTTCATACTGCTTTGTGGTCTTCTGTAATAGTCCTCATTCTGTTAAAAGGTCAAAATTATAAACTTTGTGCTCTACTCAGTTCTAATTTTGCACCACTCCAGGGGGGTGATTTTTGGTTGTCAGAGTTGTTTCAGGTATTTAAATATAGAAACCTTCCTCTCAAAAATATTCTTCTCCATGATAATCACACCTATGCCATTATAATAGCTAAGAAAATAACAACAACAACAACAACAAAACTGCTTCTCTAGGCCTGACAGTTTTAGATCTGACCTAGGGAGAATTGATGACTTTCTCTAGAAGTCAAGTGTCTGGTTCTATGTGGGACTTTGAATCCGTCAGGGCCACCTTCATGACTAACACCACATGCACGGGTTATCCACAATCATCTCACCTTTTGCAGATATCCTTCCGAACCACTTGTGTCTATCCACTCTGCACACTCTATCATGTTCCACTTCCAGTCTTCCTGGATGATTGTGTTAGTATTTATTTTTCCATGTATGGCTTATTCTGCCTCTTGGACCTAATACTTAGGCTCATTTCTCTAGTTACAACATTGACTGAAGTCAAATGCTCAGGCTGAATTCTTTCTCTACCTTTGTTGCCTGTGGCTTCACGGGTCAGTTCAGTCTTCTTTCCAGACCCTCGGCTCCAGAAAGGCTACTATGTGCAGTTTCCTCCTCACTAACCCCGGCTCCAGTGTTGGGCCCAAGCACAGGACAAATTAGTGATGAAGATCATGATATAGGCATATCTGGGAATAGTTTTCTTTCTTTTTTTCTTTCTTTCTTTTTTTTTTTAAAGATTTATTTATTTATTTATTTGACAGACAGAGATCACAACTAGGCAGAGAGAGAGAAAGGAAGAGCAGGCTCCCCGCTGAGCAGAGAGCCCGATGTGGGGCTCGATCCCAGGACCCTGGGATCATGACCGGAGCCGAAGGCAGAGGCCTTAACCCACTGAGCCACCCAAGCTCAATAAGTTATTTCTTATATAATTCTTTTATTGCCTGTTGACAGCAAACTGGACATATTTGACACTAGATTCTTTATAGTCTCCTCAATGATAGCCTATTACAATGGCAAAGATACAGATTTGGGAATTAGATGAATTGGATTTGATTCCCTGCTTTGTGTGTATTAATTGTGTATTGAGGACAAGATATTAAACTCTTATGAACCTCATTTTAAAAATGAGCAAAAGAAAGGTGCCTGGCTGACTTAGTAGGTAAAACATGTGACTCTTGATCTTGGGGTTGTGAATTTGAACCCCACGTTGGACATAGAGATTACTTTAAAAAAAAAGGGCAGGAGAAAACTTAGGTTTTAGCTGATTGTGATGAAAAAATATAACAACATATGTAAAATGTCTGATACAGGATACATGTATCAATAAGTAGGAATTCCTTCCCATGAATTATCTGAAAAATATATGAAGTTAAATTATAAAAAAGGAGTGTAGATGTAGCATGTGTTTTAGTTATTAATTTTATTATTTTAATTATTGTTATTTATTTTATGATTCTACTAGGAATTATTTAACTGGTTCTTTCATTATACAGGCATTAATGTTTACTGATAACAAAATTAGAAAAATAGGAGGTACCTGGAGGGGTACCTGGGTAGCTCAGTTAGTTAAGCGTCTGACTAGTTCTACTCAGGTCATGATCTTGGGGTCATGGGATCGAGCTCCATGTCAGGCTCCATGCTGGACCTGGAGTCTGGTTGGGATTCTCTCTCTCCCTTTCCCTCTGTCCCTCACTGCTGCTCACATGCATGCTTTCTTTCTAAATAAATAAATAAAATCTTAAAAAAAAAAGAGAGAAAAGAAAAATACCATGGAATTTTTGAATTTATAGTAGAAAAGGTGTGTGTGGGGGGTTCGTGATTTCATGATAACAAACACCACGATACTAGCCTGTAAGATTATATATTTCACATGTCCATTTGCAATTGTAAGAAAAAGGTATTTTCCCGTGTCATTCTCCCCATGTGACGTGGCAAGGGAGGGAGAAGTCTCGTAGTTTGCTTAGTGTGGTCAGAAAGTGTCAAAGATCCCATTAGCTCAAAGTGAAAGGAAGATGATCTTAACACTGTCCAAAGCTCTTTCCCTACTCTTACCCAAATCTTAGAGCATTGAAGGAATCGTGGAAGGGGTAGAAGGGATAGAATGGCACTGAGAACTTTGGCCTGCAGTATCTTCTTCCTAACCCTCAAGCTGAGTGCTGAAACATCTACTTAAAAAAATAAAAAAGTAAGACTATGTGTATAGCACAGATATTGCTTCACTCTCCTGCCAGCAAATTTGGGAGT